CAACCAATTAAATCGGATCCCGTTGAACAAAACGGATCGATTACCGAACCAGACTTTAAAACATTGGGTGAAATGGGTTTGCAAGTTAAAGAGCCTGTAGGTCCCTTAACCATAACCCATAGATCCATTATCCAGAGCCTGTAGGGTAGGATTGGATGAAGTTAAAACTTTTGTAATGAAAATAATGATAAATGGAATCAACATTTAAAAATAATATTGTGATATAAATTATATTCTTTAAAATATTAAAAATAAAATTTATATTATTTAATAATTAATTTTTTTATTTTAATATTTATATTATTAAATATATTAATTAATTAAATTATATAACTTATATCACATTATTAATATTAAATTTTATGTTCCAAATTTTCATACTTTCCCTTCATTACTCCATCATTTACTCTTGTAACGGGGATGAAGCAAACCAAGTCACCTTTTAGGATAAGGGTAGAAAGTTACAAACTTCCAAATTCCAACAAAGCATTAATTTGTATCAATAGAAAGTTGTCCATTCGTTGTTCCGCTCCTATTTATTTCTTCATACTTTAATCCGAATTCTACACTTGTACCTGTATCTCTATCCCTTCGCAGATCCCTCACGTTCCATAACTTCAGTTTAGAGCTATTTTTGTAGCTGCGCTTTGGACTCTAATCTTAGCTTTATTGTTTCAGGCTGTTGGGATTTTTTTTTTTTCTTTTAAGGGTTTTATTTCAGAATTCAGATTGCCAACAGAAAACCCATTCCGAAAATCCATTTCTTCGTTGATTCGGTTGTAAGTGGTGGCATGAGCTGGACTTCTGTAAAGATTTGTTTCTTGGGTTTCTTCGGTTGTTGATGGGTGTTCAGAAATTTGGGTTCTTTATGGAAAACCCAGTTGATTGTTGATTGGTGCAGTCAGGAGTTTGAATTTGGGGTTTTTTCTTGGATTGTTTTGGTGGGTTTTGTGAAATTTGGATTATCATTAAACACTATATCATTGCAATTCGGCTGCTGAGGTCAAATTTGTTAACCATTTTTCTGAGAATTTGAAATTTTGGGTGCCTGCTGAGGATTTTGGATTGTGATTTGGAAAGTTTTTGGTCGTTGACCTTGGAATCCCATTTGCAATTTGGGAGTTGAGATCAGGGATTCATTTCTCCTGTTCGGGCGAGTTGGAGGGAAGTATTAGAGTTTTGGCCATTCGCAGCTGGGGTTTTAATTTGGTTGTTGGTGAGCTTCTATTTGCAACTTGTGAGTGCATTGAGAATTCAGAGCAGAATTCAGGATCAAAAGGTCGGAATCTGTTACTTTTATCCATATCTTGTGATAAATTATCTGCAATCAAAATTTCTTTGTTATAACTTTAGGGTCTTTCACCTCTCTGATATTAGTATTCTAGAAAGAAAGGATTTTTATCTGTCTTTCTTTCTGCTCTTGCATTTTCTATAAAAGAAATACTGTCTTATTCAATCATTTTCAGATTTTCTGGCTGATATAGATATCTGGAATTCAAAATTTCTGACACGACTCTATGTATATGATTTTATTTTCTTGCTCCGTATTCTTTGTACTCAAATGCAAAATTTAACCATCTTCTTCTGAAATCCTCATAGTATTGTGAAAATTTGTTGGCTACTGACTGCCTAAGATCCCCTATCTGAATCATTTTACATTTTTAGTTCTTTGTATATTAACTTTTTTTTTTTTTCCAGATATCCTTTTGTTTTTTGGTTGGGACTCTTGTTTTTGGATAAGACAAACCATCCAGCACACAGACATTTAAACAAGATATGGATATTAGTAATGAGGCCAGTGTTGATCCATTTCCGATTGGACCTTCAACCATTGTGGGTCGAACGATTGCATTTAGAATCTTGTTCTGCAAGTCAATGTCACAATTCAGGTATCAAGTCTTTCACGTGCTGTTGAAATTTATCTATAGGTGTAGGAACTTTTTGGAAAATGTGATATCATGGTTGCATCCTCAAAACCCGCAAGGGATATTGGCAATGGTGACAATTATTGCTTTTCTTTTGAAACGGTACACAAATGTAAAATTGAGGGCTGAAATGGCTTATAGAAGGAAATTTTGGAGGAAAATGATGAGAGGTGCATTAACATATGAGGAATGGTTTCATGCTGCTAAGATGGTTGATAAGGAGACCCCAAAAATGAATGAATGGGATCTTTATGATGAAGAACTGGTTAGGAACAAAATTAAAGAGCTCCGCCACCGTCGCCAAGAGGGATCCTTGAGGGATATAATCTTTTGCATGAGAGCTGATCTGATTAGAAATCTTGGTAACATGTGCAATCCTGAGCTTCACAAGGGTAGGCTCCAAGTTCCAAAACTCATTAAGGAATATATTGATGAGGTCTCAACTCAGTTGAGAATGGTCTGTAAC